TCTCTCCCTACCTACCTACTGTATTTCTCTCTCTCTCGCCATCTACCTACCTACCTACCTACTCTCTCTCTCTCCCTACCTACCTACTGTATTTCTCTCTCTCTCGCCATCTACCTACCTACCTACCTACTCTCTCTCTCTCTCTCCCTACCTACCTACTGTATTTCTCTCTCTCTCTCTATCCCTCTATCTACCTACCTACTCTCTCTCTCTCCCTACCTACCTACTGTATTTCTCTCTCTCTCTCTATCCCTCTATCTACCTACCTACTCTCTCTCCCTACCTATCCACTGAATTTCTCTATATATATATATTTCTCTCTCTATCCTTCTACCTACCAACCTACCTACTCTATCTATCTATCTATCTACTGTATTTCTCTATTTCTCTATTTCTCTCTCTCTCTCCCTTTATCTACATACCTACCTACCTACTCTCTCTCTCTTCCTACCTACCTACTGTATTTGTCTCTCTTTCTCTCCCTCTCGTTCCCTCTATCTATCTACCTACTTTTTTTAAAAAAAAATTGCCTCTTCAAAACCTTGTTGCATCGTATACTCAGGTGCATCTTATACGCTGAAAAATATGGTAAATCTACTTACATTTTGTTTGCTGAAATAAAATGCATGAAGCAGAGTATTTATGGCATGGAAGTGAGAGTGGCTTGCGAGGATACAAAATCAGTGAGGTGTCAGGAATCACATTAATGTGAATTACATTTTAAGTATATTTTTAAAACCATCTCACTTCATGCATTATGCCTTAATTGTGCTTTCTATTTTCCTCTGTTGGTTATATTTCTGTCTGAATAGCATTGCTTTTTAATTCTGTTGTTGTTGTTGAATGTAATAAAAAAAGACTGCTATGTTAAAGAAAAAACTAACACAGTAATTATAGTGTTAAAAAGAAGTTAATACATAATATAACTAAAGCAAAGAGAATGTAAGGAAATTAAATGTCTTCTGTTAGTGAACAGAATTTAAGGGAAACAAGAAAAGGTGACCTGTATACTACTTAAAAAGAATGAAACTCAAATCTCTGTTTTGCTTAGCATTCCTTGAAGCAAAGGGGCAAATTATAATTAGGGCATATATGTATGGATGCAGCTCACATATATTCCTGGCGAGTTCAAAATGCAAGGTTGACTTTCAGTCTCCGTTCAGCCTTAGTTTAACTTCTTAATCACTATTTCCAAGCCATCCTATGCTAACTGATTCTTACCTTAGATTCCTCTCCCTGCAGATCAAGAGATGTAGCAAAGACCCATTTGGGTGGACAGGGCAGCTCCAGAAATCTCTTCACCAGACCCAGGCCGATCCCCTGATCAGATCCTGTCACCAGAACACTGAAAACAGAGAAGCCAGCTGTCTTGGCCATCCCTCCAGGACCTGCAGCTTCAGCTTCCAACATGTTCGAAGGTTTAGTTCAAATGTATAACCTCATCAGAGGTGACAATATTAAGATAAAACATGCCACACCCATGAATATATTTTCTAATAAGCTTCGTGTCATGTCAGCCTCCCTCAGCAACCAAGAAAGAAACCACTTAACTCCATTTCACAGAATTAAGAGTAGTTTTACTGGTTGTGAAAAGATAGCAGCTAAGCAAAGCAAGATCTGAGGCAAAAGCGCGCGAAATCATAGATATCAATATGTGACCCAACCCCCTTCCCCTGGTAATCCCATCTCATAGTCCAATCTGTAAATCCCTCGGGTGTCATGTGAGTTCCATCTTCAAAAAGCATCATCAGGTTGGCATGCAGGACATTTGGCCTTGGCAGGCCCAATCACTATCTCCAGCATGTGTAGTAGAAGGTGAGAACAAAACTCCCTTTTCACAATCTCTCCTGTACTTAAAATTTCCCTTCCCAAATACCATGCCTCCTTAATACAGATGGATTCGGAAACAGAATTAGTTAAAGATTGTATGATAAAATGGGCTCAAAATATTGAAGAACCAATAAT